GCGCGCCGAACGCGAAACCCGTCGGAAATCCGTTGCGTCGAGCGCAGTTTTCCGCCGACCTGAGTACGGCGTTTGTGTAATGTATGGATCGGATTCCGAAGAAAACTACCGCAGCGATATCGCAAAGAATAAAATATCATGTCGCGTCACGCAGCGCGCGAGAGAAACAATGAATCCTTCTCGGAACATTCGCGTGTACTCAGGCGCGTGCAGCACGATCGACCGCGTTATTATTACAATACGGCAGGGACGCTTTTTTTTTTTTTTTTTTTTTTTTTTTTTTTAAACGTAAGACGATTGAGCGTAAAATATTTAAATCGCGGCGTCACGGCGTGGCGGCGGCCAGACGATTTCGTCACGAGAGGGGGGGGGGAGACAAGGATAATATTATTTTGATGACTATGCCACGGGGTCCGGGAATCGGGCCACGGCGAATCTTTTAACGAAACGCCGTACGATAATCGGGGGCCGCTAAAATTTTACATTTATAGCCGGTAGGGGCGTCGGTGGTGATTGGGCCACAATATTTTAATGCATTTTAGATTTTAGATCATTAGATTTTTTTCGATTTATGTTGACGGCGCTTTTGAACACCGTGCAAAGCAATCCGTATTAGTACATTATTTAAAAAAAAAAAAATCATTAATTATTTGACTAATTTTATATTACACATATGTACACAAATATTATTTACGAAGCAGGTAGATAAAATTGGGCTCAATTCCCGAACGCCCTTATGCTATTATTATTTTTATAACTTTTTTTTTTTTTATAAATATTTATATGGATAATATTATATGTACGTTGCTGTTATAAATATTGATGAGAAATGAGATTATCGGCGGATATATTTCCCTTAAACCCTTAGTTCGACCGCTCCTGATCTGCAGAGAGAACAATTTATTGCAGGTAATAAAACGGATGTTGTATTATTCGCAAGTATAAAGACCGCGGAACAAGAATAATAATGAAGTGCTGATACTGGGTACGACTACTGTTGTAGGTGGTTAGTTAGGAAGGTGGAATAAATAAAATTATTTAATTTATACCTGTAACCAACGATTTATGTATTAAAGAAACTTCGCTCCGAATCGTTTTTCATTACCAACGGCTTATCGTGGCTTACAGATATAAATTAAATGCCCCTCTATAACTTACTTTCCCAATTTTTCACCTACAATAATGGCCCAACCATCGTGCGGAGTATGTATTGAATTTTTTTGTTGTGATTCGGTTAAACATATTTGTAGAGACCTGAAAATTACCATGTTAAGATTTTTGAGCAATTCATACGCATTTTACATTTTATAGTAACTATATAGTTGTGTTTTTAGTTTTTATTTGGTAGGTACTATGTGGATGAAATCTGTTTGACCAAACAGAAATACTTGAAAATTTAACAAGAGGTTACTTTTACTTAGTGGTAAAAAAATGTTGAGCATAATGTAGTAGTTGAGATAAAATTTTAACGAAACTCGTAACAATTACGGTATTTTAAAAAATGTGTAACTGTAAAATGTGTAATTCCTTAGCAATCATGTCTATCATGGTTTAATAATAACTTTAAATAACTTTCCACCTACAAGAGTGGCTATTGACAGTATCGATTTTTTTTTTTTTTGGTATTTAATAACATTTGTGTTTATAATTACACCTAATAATATTAATAATGATTACGAACCTATTATTTCTTCATAAAATATAACAATAATAGGAAAAAAAAAATAAGTTTTTTGTTTCGGTAGGTCACCGGATACTTCGTTGGCGACGCGATAGAACACAATAGCCAAAGGACAAAAATCGCAAATGCACGTCCAGGGCACTGTTGACAGACAGGTAAGGTGCACACGGTCATTGGTCACCACCATAACGTCTTGAATAAATGAATACCAGGCCCGGTTGTTATAGTTTTGAAAACAGATACGATATTAATAATCAACCGCCTTTGACCGTCGATTCGTATGCCCGTGTTAACAACACGGAAATATTAAAACTTTGAAAAAGGTAAAAAAAAAAAAAAAAAAAAAAAAACAACCGACGTATGCAAACGCCGCGGATAACGGCGTTAATTACGCGTTCGGACCGTCACGCCGCGAATATAAAAAATAAACGGCACGTATAATTTGGCCCCGGACTCAAATTCGCTATCGCGCCGCGCTCGTATATTATTACCTATATTAGGATCACGTCCTCTTAAGAACCGTGTACATCCGATGCGGTACAAACTGCGGCGTCGTCGTCGGCACGAACTGCCGTATTATACTGTTTGTTACGGTACGTACGCGTACAGGGTGTGCCGCGAAGACGTATTGCCCCCGTTGCGATATCCCCGCGGAGAAATAACGACCATAACGAAATGCCGAAATCGAACGGTCTTTATTATTTACGGGGTGGGGGTGGTAGGGGAAATATCTTTAATGATAGAACAGATGAGAAAACAAAGATTGCAAAGCTAGCGAAACGCCGTTGTGTATTACGATTGTATTATTTATTACTTCGGTGTCAGTATTGTTTGGTAGTTTGTCTAATAAAGTGTTTTGTGAAACGGAAAAAATTGAAGTTTCCGAGTATTTTTTTCATTTTTTAGACATTTTATAACAATGCCAAACAGATTCTCAAATAAAATACAATCAACGTCCCGTATTCCTAAACAAACAACTAAACCGAAAAACAAACAAAAGTTCATACAAATTCAAATTAATACTTTAATCTAAAGAAATTTCTAATTTTGAATTTATACATATAATAAGCCAATCAAATCAACCATTAGCCTTATCAATAAATGTATTTTTATTTTCCATTACTAATATGACAATTGTACATTTGTATTATATGTTTACTGTAATTTGTCATAATTTGACCGTGTTAGTTTGACTTGTGTTACAAAGCGATTATAATGTAAATAATACAAAAATGATCAGTATATTTATGTGAAATTGTATTTCATTTATTTATACGATTTACACGCTATTTTGTGCACCAATGCGCCTTGGGACGCAATCGGGATACTTATATTTGGGATAAGATAGGACTACCTGCATTCGGGCCGCAATCGGACAAACCCGAATATCGCAGCGGGCATATGTCGCGTCGCGGGTATATCTTCGTGGGACACCCTGTATTCGTACAATATGAGTATATACATATAGTGGAGAGCTTGAAAAACCTCGTCGAGTGCAACTGCGGCGGAAAAACACGCGTATACGGACTCGGTGTGTCTGGAGAGGTTTAACGTCGGAGGACGATAACGACCGTGCGGTTATATTATATATAATGGCGGACTGTTTCTAAGTATATATAGTGTGTATATATAGTGCGCGCGCACACACACACACACACACACACACACACACACACATATATATATACATATACAGACTTACGGCGAAAACTCCTCGTCTGCCCACTTGTCCCGCGTATACTTCCCGACCGGAGCGAATAAACTTCCCGCCGCCGTGCCCGGCGCGTAAAAGCTGACTCCACAAGTATTATTATTATTTTTTTTTTTTTTAATTTTTTTTTCCCGTCAACCCTCTCCTTTTCTTTCCCGCCTCGTATAGTTGAACCGCCAAACTCGGCCAAACTGACAGTATACGCGCGGTAATAAAGTACAGCGTATTATAACAGTATACATAATACGTATACGTAGGTACTTATTTTTTCCCTCCCGGATTACATTATTAATTTCACGGCAATGGCTACCCGGATAATATTATTACTCGTATTATTATATTTTATCGCGAAGGAAAAAAAATACCCCCGCATATTTCCGCGGGAATTTCGCTCTATACCCTGCGCTCGTAACCCGGATTCCGTTGGAGCAGCACAACACAAACGGTTGCGACGGTGCATAGAAAGGCGGAATACTGCGGACGACGGGATCGCGTCTGTATAGTATAGACGAAGATTTGCAAAGGAACGCGTGGATAAAAGGAGCGGGAAATGAGTTTCGGGCGAAGACTTATGACACGTCACGAAGCGGCAGATTCCCAATAGTGGGGAAAAGAGGCACGGGAGAAGCAAACGGCAGGATTTACTGTTCTTCTATTTTACCCAACTGGTGTGTCTGAATCCCTCGCGGTTTTTTATCGACTGGGTTGTACGTTTACCATTTGTAAACATTTCTACGTAAACGAAAAGCGAAACCTTTTAAAGAACGTCATTAAAAAACTATAGTAGGTCACCGTCATCCGAAATAACACGTTTCTGCAGGAGATCGTATTTGCGTTACGGAAAGAAGACGCAGAGGCCGAGAAACTGCACTTTTATAGAAAACGACAACGGAATGCATTATCACTTCCAGCGCAGACCTGAAAAGATCGGCGAATGACAAAAGGGATTAGTTAACACCACCGACAAGGTTTTGCCTTTAGAAGCCGATGATGAACTATTCGTTTTAGGTCGCCATAATAATATAATAAGTATAATGTATTTATTGATTTTTCTTCCACGATTTCGGGAAAAGCATTCCAATCGCACAGCTTACACACCAATAGTAGTAGTTTAGCATTTTTTTTTCGAACCTTAATGTATACCTAGGACCAATATATTTTTGTTTCCGTTTTATATTATAATAAATTGCAGTGTTCGAAAATTCGGTTTCCCACACAGGAACCGTGTTGACGATGATTGGACCAGAGACGTATTTACATTTTTAGCGTCACGGGCCACTGTTCTTCTCAGCGCCTCAAGAACGCATCTTTTTTTCTTTCTTTTTTTTTTTATTAAAACACATTGGAATTACGAGCTGCACACTTAAAATGTCTTGCAGTACATTCCGGGCTCTAAAACAAATTATTTTAGGCCGTCTGAACGAACGTAAACCGTAAACGTACCCGGACAGAATGACAGGAAGTGAGATAATGAAATGGACCATCCGAATAATAATAATAATAGACTCGGTTTTGGAATTTTTTTTTTCAACACTATTTATAATAATTTTATTTATGAAAATATACAATAATAATAATAATAATAATAATAATAATAATAATATTGTTGTTGAACGTTAAACCTACACGAAATCAAATAAATACAATATTATAGGCACGAAAATTGTTCGTACAATATAATTTATCGTCGCTAATCACTATATTATAATAATATATCAATCAATAAATAAATAAATAAAATAATTTCGTCGTTTAAAATCTATTACAATAATTTTTTTTTTTCAAATCAATAATATTATATAAATAAGTTAATATCTGTTTTTTTTTTTTTAACATATATTTCCGTCATACAAACTCTACACGTACCGTTAATATAGTAATAATAATAATAATAATAATAAATAATTATTGAGCAAAACTACTGCGTTTCGATTTTGTTATATTATAATAGTAATATATTCGACTATTTTTTTAAAAAAAATTTTCCCATAAGCAATCGTGAGTTAACAATTTTCAAATTTCATTTTTTTTTTTAAATTACTAAATTGTTTCTCTTAATTATATATATATATGTAAATCCTAACCGTTATACAATAAACACAATAATAATAATATAATATATATATTATATATGAATCAGAAAAAAATAAAAAACTAAAATAAAATCAACATAAAAATAATAAAAACGAACCAACGCGAAAACGCCTATTGTAATTTTTTTTTCTTTCTACTACGACGACACGCACGAAGCGTATTTTATTTTCCGGCAATCACGAAGCAATCGTAGAAAGTAATAATATCGCGTAAAACAAAAACTATACTGCCGTAATAATAAACCGCAGTTGTAGTTTCGGTCCGGTTCCGCGGGTACAGATAGCATTATTAACGCGTCTTTCGAAAATATAACCACGTCCGAACCGGTGCTTTTTTCAAGGGGGCGGGGGTTGGACGCGGGGGCGACGTGGATGATCCGTCACTCCTTCCTAAAAGATATCTAGGACCCGGGGACTTTTTTTTTTTTTCGGTTTCGCGATAAATATTTGCTTCTCGCGCAATAAGAAATGCATCGAAACATGTTGATATAGTGTGAAAGCCCGTCTCGTTGTCGCGACATTCGTCGTGTCATTGCAGTGTTAATCGAATCGTCCGGTACAGCGTGGTCAGGAATTTTCGACGGGAGGGGATGTAGCAAACAATAATCGTGAATAAATCGTAAAATCGTCTTCTCTACCCAAATACGTATGGGAATGGGTAATTAAAAAGCCGGATCCTAAAAAAAATTCTGCAATTCGTAATCCACACATCAAGCTTTGCCTCGTAACTTGGCTGAAATATATGCATTTCGAGATTAGATTGCTATTATATTTGTATTTTTAAGCCAACTGGGGAGGGATATAACCACTAACCTCTCCGATCGCGCGAAATTAAATCGCTACGCTAGTTCTTTGTAGAAAAAAGAAAAAACTCCCGCCCTTATATTATACGCTGCGTGGGGTTCTGTACGCGACCCCGCGGGAGAGAGTGCTGTTTTATTCTTTTTTTTTTTTTTTAATTCGCCGAGGTTCCCGAGTTTTCGAATCTCTAATTTTTGTCTGTTTTTTTCTTCTCACGACATTCCGTCCGATATTTTTTAAAAAAAAAACTGGCAAAATTACTTCCATACGGATGTACTACGGGATAAATGATAACAATACGTATTTATTACTTACGGCGATACCTATATGAAATACGCGTATGCATATGCGCGTACATAATAATTCGACAAAATATTAAAAAAAAAACAAAACAGAACCAAACGATATACGCAATACACAAGTAGGTATACAATGTTAAATATAACGTGTACAATATAATATAATTTTAATTGTATTAATTATAAATATTTCGTATAATAATTGTATTATTATAATTATTTTATTGCTATGGATTTCACAAAAAATTATTGCTTCTACGATACATAATAATACATACTTAATACATAATACATAACCATAATATTAGTAATAATAATAATATACTCTCTACCAGCGAGGCTCCCGGAAGGCGAGCTCGTCCGCATATTTTGCGCGGCTCGGACCTCCCGTTTCTCCGCCTCTACAGTTTTTATTGCTTTTCGAATACGTACTTAAAAAATATTATTACCATATTATATATAGTTTCCTTAAATGTATAAAGAAAAAAAAAAAAAAAGAAAAAACCGAAACGAAACGAAAATCTTAAGTTTACACGACGGGAGAGTCCGAAAAACGAAAACGATTTTCGGACGATCGATTAATAATGATGATAATAATAATATTGTTTTATTATACAGAATTAATAAACGAATAGGTTTTTTTTCTTTCAGTTTTTTTTTTTTTTTAATATTCGTAGGAAAAAAAGAGATAGCAGAGATAGAAACGAAAAAAAATAAATAAAATCAATAAAAACAGTTTCGGTGTTTTTTTCACGCGTCGGCGACACGAATTATTACAATAAAAGTATCTAATAATAATAATAATAATAATAGTAATACGTAATTAAAACGAGAATATCTTTAAGTTTTTAATAATGTTTCGAACATTTTTTTTTTTTTTTTCTGTTTCTAATAATTTTTTTTTTCAGTATACATGTAATATTATTATAATAAATAATATGTATTATTTGAGCAGACGAGTACGTTACGTTATATATTGCTTTTCGACTATATTATTATTACAACACGAATAAATATTATTATAATGAGTGTAATTTTTCTTAAAAATCTATGTAACACGCATTATAGTCTAGAAAAGAAAAAAAAAAAAATTTTTTTTTTTTGGTGTTTCAGTTTTTGTACTCTAATCATCTCCGTCTAATCTCGAGATATCCGTAAAATGGTTCGTACAAATATTTCGGTCTTCCAAAAAAAAAACCGAACAAAACCCCGGCAAATTTATTTGTTTACCGCGTAGCTACCACGAGTACAATGCAAAATATGTTAAACCGTATTAAACGCGTTCACCAGGAGTTACCCCGTAACGTCAATAACTATAATATTATACAAAATAATAGGTACTTATTATGATAGTTACAATATTTTCGTCAAACCTGATTAATAATGACGCGTACAATATGTCGTAGTTATTAATCCGGGACAAACTACTGTATCGTACGTAACGAGAACGACAAAAAAAAAAAAAAAAAAAAAGTTAAA